TAGACTGTTCCATTGATCTACCTCTCTCTTTTTTTAACTGGTATCAGATGGTTTTGATGACTACTGCTTTATAATATAAAGTTTGAAAGGACTATTTCCCTTTTATCCCTCTTATTTCCTTTGATATTCTAGATATTATATTTTTCAAAATGAATTTTGCTATTCATCCAGTTTTATAAAGCATCTTTTAGATACTTTGATTGATAATGCATTAAAATTATAAATTAATTTTGGTAGTACCAATTGTCATTTTTATCATATTGATATGACCTAGCCATGAGCATTGAATATTCCTCCACATATTTAAGTAGTTCTTTAATCTTTAAGTTTTTTTTGTTTGTTTGTTTTTTTAAGGCAATTGGGGTTAAGTGACTTGCCCAGGGTCACATAGCTAGTAAATGTCAAGTGTTTGGTCTGAGGCCGGATTTGAAGTCAGGTCCTCCTGACTTCAGGGTTGGCGCTTTATCCACTGTGCCACCTAGCTTCCTCAGTAGTTCTTTAATCTTTAAGGAACATTTTTAATTCAATCTATGTAAGTATTTTGTGTGCTTTTGTAGACTTATTTCCAGATAGCATACAAATTTTTGGAGTTATTTGAAAGGGGAAGTTAAGAACTATTCTTACCACTTTAGTGAATACCTCTTTCTAAAACCTAAGTATGGCTGATTAACCGATGTCAACTGAAATTGATGGTGGGAAGCACACCAATGGGCATTATATATAAACCCTATAGCATTAGATAAACCCCTCAAAACCTCAGAACTACTCTTAGTACTCTGAAGGGATGTTAGTAGCCACTCTCTGGAACCTAACTTGTTAGAGTACGAGCTGGGATAGTTGATTCAGACCATGTGCTACATAAGCAAGATAAACTAGAGATTCTAATGCAAAAAAAACATTTGACCTTATAGGTTATTACTGAATTTTGGTGTGATGATACTCCATAATAGAATATGTCTCTAGAATACTTTATTTAAAAGAAATAGGATAATTAAAGGGGTAGGGAGAAGAGTGTATCCACGTACCTGTACCTTGACCCCACCTCAGACATACATAGGGAAGGTAATGCCTTTGATCTCCTCACCCAGAAGCATCCCACCTCTATCATTCAGAACCCTGAAGCTCCTCTCTAACCACAATCTCCTTTTTCTCTCCCTGTACTTCATCCCCTACTCACCCTCCATACCTATTCTCTGTTCTCATGGCATCATCTATTTACTCTATCCCTTCCCACTTTCCCAGATCTCACTCACCCTTGTGTTTTCACTTTTTTTCCTTCAAAATCATGACCAGATAGTTAAATCAGTTCAATTTTACACTATCTTCTACCACTGAATGAATACTTTGTCTCTCTGCTCTATTATTGTTCATCTTATTCCATACTTCAACTCTGAGTAACTTCCATTACTCCTTCTTCACTGCTACTTTGTATTGCTGACTGCTATCAGTAGTGGGGCAGCTAGGTGGCACCATAGTGCAGAGTGCCACGCCTGGAATCAGAAGACTCACCTTCACGTATTCAAATCCGGCCTCAGACACTAGCTGTGTGACCCTGGGCAAATCACTTAACCTGTTTGCCTCAGTTTCCTCATCTGTAAAAGGAGCTTGAGAGGGAACTCCATTACCCTTGCCAAGAAACCCCCAAGCGGAGTCATGAAGAGTTGGATTTGACTGAACAACAACAAAATCAGAAGCAGTCACACAATCCTACTACAAGTTTTTCATCTAATATCAAATGGGTCCTCACTGCTTCACAATGATCCTTTTACTCTTCCCCGATTCTCTATTGTATTCTTTAAAGCACCTGTTTTGAACTTTCTTTTCTCCTCAGATTACCTACCTACCCTCTCAGCAGAGGATCCTACTTTATATTGAGAAAATTGTGGTCATCTGTCCTGAACTCCTTCTTACTTTCAGTTTTGCACTTCACATCTTTTCAGTGTTATCCTCCTTCTCTCATTTGCTTCAACCTCTGAGGAAGAGGTGGGCCTATTCCTTGATAAGGCTTATTCTTCTACCTGTGCTCTTGGCCCAGAATTTTGCCCCCTTTTCTGCCAATCTGCCAACATCACTGCAGAAACAGTAGAACATTTTTCCCCTTTGTTTCATAGCTCTCCTCTGGGAGCTTTGTCCTTCTATCAGGATTTCAAAATATCTCGACAGGTTAAAACATTGGACCAAATCAAATAAGATGAAATGTAATAGGTACAAACAAAAAATCCTACACTTGGGTTCAAAAAACCAACTCCACAAGTACAAGAGGGAGAAGGCAAAGTTAGACAGCAGTTCATTTGAAAAAGGTCTGGGGATTTCATAGAGTTGCAAGTTCAATATGAGTCAATTGTCTGAAATAGCAGCCAAGAAAGTTAATGTAATCTTAAACTGAATTGAGAGCCATAGCACCCAGGAAAAAGGAGGTGATAGTCCTTTTGTACTCTCCCCTAGTCAGATGGGGTTCATTTGTGGGCCCATTCCTAGAAAGGATAGCTATATACTGGAGTGTCCAGAGAAAAACAACCTTGACAGTAGAGGGTTTAGAGATCATGCCTTAAAAGGATAAATTGAAGGAACTGGTGATGTTTATTCTGAAGTCAGGAAGACTGGATGGCCATAATAATGATCTTCTAGGATGCAAAGGGTTGTCATGTGGAAGATTAGATTTGTTATCTCAAGAAAGCAAAATTAAGAACATTGGGTGGAAGTTGCAAAGAGGTGAATTTAAGATCAAGAAAGGCTTGTTAACAATGAGAGCTAATCAGGAATTAAAAGGGCCAGCTACCTTGGGAAGCAGTAGGTTCAACAAAATAAGAGGTCTTCAGAGACTGGATGATTATATGTCAGGTATGTTGTGGAGTGGATTCTTTGTCAGGTATGTATAATTTGGACTGGTTGGTAACTGGAGTCTCTTCCAAATTTGAAATTCTATGACTCTGTCTTTAGTCTTGTCAGGTCTAGCCCAGAGGAGTGCCATCCACTTAAGTAAAATGGACACCTCTAATAAAAGTAGTTCCTGAATGGCTCCATGATCTGAGCGCACCATAGGTACACCCTAGCCCTGATTATGCCAGGGTGAGGGTGAATGCTAGTAGCCATCATAAAAGGACCAGAATTTTGGGAAGACAGGCTAAACCAGGCAGCTCCCCAACATGCTGATTTGAGACTGTTTACCCTGCCCCCTTAAACGTGAATTTTCCCCTCTGCACCATTTTCCATTTGTCTCCCCTGATTTTTCAATTTTGCAATCACCCATAGTGCTAAACTGGCTTGGCTTTTTATTTCATAGTTCTGATTAGGCCCCTATCTCTGATACCTCCAGACGAGGACTGCCTTCCCTCCCCTTCCCCCTCCCCATGATGTTTGACTAATAGATATTTGATTCATAGATGTCAGGCTTGCTTCAGAGAAGTGGGAATTTCAAGGTGGGAAGTTGTGTTGTCCCATCTTTGGAAATTAAGGATATATTATAATCCATCAAGAATGTCAAGACTGATATGATTCAGTTACTCCAGGAGTACATTTGCTTGGTAATTGGACAAGACTTGGCACTTTCTGCCCCCTTTTCTGCCAATCTGCCAACATCACTGCAGAAATAGTAGACCATTTTTTCCCTTTGTTTCATAGGTTGTCATAGCCAAAGAACTCATGACCAGGTAGCCAAATTGGTTACAAATCTCTTCGTACATGGCTAAGTTGATCCTGAGAAAGCAGATAGAATCTTTTGCTAGAATAGTACTTGAAGTCTTTTCAACGTGGTAGAATCAGCCAGAGCTTTCACTTGACCAGTCTAGACTGTGAGCAGGTCACCTGGATGCCATGTTGGGGCATCAGAATACTTGAATCAGGAAGACTTGAATTCAAACCTTGCCCTTGATACTTACTAGTTGTACAACCATGGGTGAGTTGCAACCTCTCTGAGCTCATTCGTCATTGGTAAAATGGAGTTATCTATTGGTACCATCACTCAGGGTTGAAGCTTAAATGTAAATTTCTTTTCAATGTCCCATATGCCATTTTGGTCATTATTATTGTAAGGAGATGAATTTTATGACTGGAAAAAACATGCTAGTTACACAAGAACAAGAAATAACTTCTGAACAGTTCTCACTTGCTCCACTGGCACCCATACAATATCAAGAAACCATGAGGAAGGCCCTTCTCACATTTGGTGGTCCTGATGTGGCAGATTTATAGGAAGATATGGACAAAAATCACACAAGATAGGGGGCAGCTAGGTGGCACAGTGGATAGAGCTCTGGCCTCGGAGTCAGGAGGACCCGAGTTCAAATCCGGCCTCAGACACTTGACACTCAGTAGCTGTGTGACCCTGGGCAAATCACTTAATCCCAAATGCCTCACCAAAAAGGAAAAAAAAATCACACAAGATGAACAGACATGGGTAAGTTGTGATGTATATCAATGGAAGAAGTAGAAATACTGATGAAATGGCAGATACTTTGGGGTAAATAACCTACCACACCACCACATTAACTCCTTCATGGTGGACAATTTAGTGACCAGACCTTCAAGCCACCCAAACATGTCCCACAGACAGTGCTATGTTTGAGAAATAGGACTTGCAGATCTTGGGGTATGAAACCTATTTCCCTTTGCCAGAGAATTAGTCTAACTCCCCCATACGTCAAATATCTGCTAACAGCATCCAGCTCCCTCATTCAACTGGGATTTCTGGGACACACACACACACACACACACACACACACACACACACACACACACA